TGATAATCATGTACTTCGACAAAATAAAATTATCTTAAGGCTACTTCTTTAAAATAGGTTACGACCTTTACTACACGCGAGTTGTTCAGGTAAAACACCAATCAAACGGTGTTGACCTAAAGACATTTCACTTTCAAGAAAGTATTAGCATTTATATACAGTCTCAAAAACTGCATTTTACTTAAACAAATCTACGTTATGAACAGGATACAAGAGCCTCATCATGTAAATTTAACATAAGTTAATGATCATGGTTTTTGACATTTTTCCTATGTGCGTCATAAGACAATTATGTTTGAATGCAATATTATAAGGTTAGATAAATAAATGTTACTTTTTAATTTTCTCTTTTTTAATTAAAATAGTTTTGATAAATTGAAATGTCTGATATTCATTAGAAATTTAATATTTGGCGGAATAGAAACTGATTACTTATAAATATGCGCAAAAAACATTGAATTGTTTTTAGTTGTTTTTTTTTTTTTACTCACCACAGTGAACCTATAATAATACTTATATAGGATTCCAAGAATCAACTGTTTTTATAAAAGATAACTGTTTCCAGAAAGAAAAGGTTTTCAAGGGGAGCAGTTTGTGTTATCTTTAACATTGAAAAAGTGAAATGTAAACTACATAGTTGCATGTAGTAGTAGTATAAGATTATATATTTGTTTGGCTTCCCTAAAACTCTACGTTTTACGATATAGTATTTAATTTGATTGAGGAGAGAAAGAAAGTTAATAAAAATTCACTAGTTAACTAGCTAGCTATCAAAAAATCTACGTGATCATATATGTTTTGGATTTTTATGAGCCACGGGGCCCCAAGCTGTGCCCGGTTGCCCAACTATTCAGCCCGCCCCTGTAATAGGACATGGCTTGGACAAACTACTATTGTCCATTATTAAAATATCATTTTCATTTAACGTTAGAATATTTATAGTTATTAAACAAGTTAAGTAAGTAACTATACATTAAAGTTTTATAAGACTGCCTAACCTTTATTACTAAGGCATTATCACTTACATGTTCCTGTTTTCATGCACGTGAATAAACATGCGGTATTGTTAAACACAATGCTACTTACAGGATGTTTTTACTTTAGTTTAGAATAGTATTTTGTTTTATAGTAGAATTGCTTGCTAATTGAAAGTTGCTGTTTTTTTTTGGGGGGGGGGGCTACATGTGAGAGCGTCTGTTACTTCACAGTTTTATATAATTTTAAAATAAAAGTTTATCATTAATTTAGTTACTGATGTAATACGTATTTACGAAAACAGCTTGTCCATTAACGTATAAAACATGCTAAATTACGTTTTCCTAAAGTCAAAATTTTAAACCTTCACTGACTATTACTTAACACGATGACTCGGTTTGGTTATTAAGCACGACGCTGCACAACAGGCTATCTGTGCTCTGTCCACCACGGGTACCGAAGCCCGTTTTTAGCGTCGTATGCTGAATTACCGCTAAGTCACTGGGTTGGGGGTGCAGCTTGATAATACCGTGTTAATCAAATTTAATATATATCATACGTTTTTAAATGATTTATACAAACTTTGTATTTAAATTATTTATATACTGCTAAGAAAAATGTCCCGTTACATGAATGAGAGAACGTGCGTGTCTGAATCGGAGTTTAGGTCGTAATGTACGATCGGGGAGGGTGAGGTTGAATCAAGACCTCCTCCTTGACTATTGACATTGTTATTGACAAATGCTATACGATAATTCACGAGATTACAATGAAACTCTTTCCAACAATTGAAGATTTATTTTGTACATCTGAAAATAGTTTAGCATAAATGCTAAGTTTTATTCAAATAATCAAAAATATTTTAGCTAAGAATAATGGAATTTTTCGCGTCCTCCTATTTGTTTATTTTTTGTTAAGATGTTCCTGAAATTAATATAACCGTTTTTTTAATGGTTACTAACCCTAACGCGAATTCTTGAAAAAGTGATATGTCAAATAATCTATATATAACATAAGCTTATAAAACTTAACAGCAAAACAAGAGACTGGAATAAAAAATGCTCAACACATAGTGGAAAATAGTTTAGTGAGTCGTTAAACTTGAGAAATAGTTTGATTTTTATCTTAGAAGGCTCGAAGCTTCTTACCTTTTCACCAATATGCTTATGCTTAATCTGAAGGAACATATATATATATGCAGTTGAAATAACTGACAAAAAAAAAACAGTCTGATAGTAAAACGTTATTCTCTATGTATAGGCCCGGCAAGACCAGGTGGTTAGGGCGCTCGACTCGTAATCTGTGAGTCGCGGGTTCGAATCCCAGTCACACCAAACATGCTCGCCCTTTCAGCCATGGGGGCGTTATAATGTGACGGTCAATCCCACTATTCTTTGATAAAAGATTAGCTCAAGAGTTGGCGGTGGGTGGTGATGACTAGCTGCCTTCCCTCTAGTC